GGACAACCTAATATATCCAGATGGGTTTTGGGAGGAAATCCATCGCTCACTACGTATTTTTCCCCATCTTCTTCCTGTTTAAAGTCCTCGTTGCCCTAGTTTCTCTCGAGTGCTTAGGCTGGGCTTTTTTTGGTCGGATGGCGAGCTTCACTGCCTTTCGGCTACTAGAACTCTGGCGTGAGGCAAGCATTTGGCGCTTTCAATGACTCCATTTCAGGGCAATCGTTCGTGACGACGCTCGTCAGGCCCAGCGTGATGCATCCTTCAAAGCGAACAACACCTGGTTATGCGTCCCCCAGCTCATCTCGAATCTTGCTTGTCTCACCAGTGTTGCTGCCGTTTCAAATGGGGTAAGGCTTAGAAGTTTTACATCGCGGCTTGGAGATTCAGTGGAGAACTATACAGCCAGGAGAACCTTTGCGCCGTGAACTCATGAATGAGTCAGCAGAAGCAGGATCGATTGCCCTGAATATGGTGAGAAGCTTTATTTCAATCAATTCAGTTTGATTTAAAAACCATACACCATGACCATCCATCCATATGCGTCTCTTGATGATGATGTTTCACGAAGCTCGTGCTATCGCATAGCTTCACGGAAATTTACATGACACCACACGCCTTGGCAATGACGATGGGAACCAGCAAAATGTCCCAACTGACCGAACTGCGCCGTTCTTGAGTTGAATCACGGATCTTTCTCGGGTACCGCCGCTTCGGCGCCCACTCGTTGGATGGGTCCTGTTGAGCTCATGAGTGCTCCGTCCATTTTGGTGCACACCATAGAACATCCATTAGTAAAGCATAATATTGCAAGCTTTTCAGCCACGGACACTGATGAATCTCGTGGGAGATGAGCTAAGACAGTGGGAAAATGCTCTTCACTCAGTTTCAAAGCCAGGTGTGTCGAATAGCCAGGTGAAGTCAGCAGAAGCAGGATCGATTGCCTTGAAGTTGATCGAACCAGAGCTCTAACAACATCTGCACTTGTGAACATGGGCTCAAGAAAGCAAACGTATTAGTCTCCAATTGTGGGAGTCGTTGGCTTCGCCTCTTCGTGTCCATCACATCCAACCTTGATGACTGTTCCGAGCTGTTCATGAAAAAAAAAACTAGTGGCAGAAGTTTGAGTACCCCTAGCAATGATCGTTGGTTCGAGGTACTCATCTAAGTTCTGATAAAGTATTGGCTCAAAAATAAGTAAAGTCTGAAAAGGAAAGACGAAACAGGTGGGGGAGGCGTGTCTGGCGGTAGACAACATCCCGCCCATAAGACAACATGACATGCATTTCCAGTAGGAACCTTGCATGCATTTAAATCACAGACATAACCCATTTGTTAAAAACATGATGTGCGACAGTCTCAGAGAAGGACCCTTTCCGTGTGCGGGTGCAGGTGGGCAGGTCTGCAGCCATTAGCGTGAGGCACTCTCCCAATGCGAAAATGTGCGGCAGTGAAGACAGGGTTTTGCGGTCGCTCGATGTTTCTGCTGGATTGCGCATCGAATAGCTGGAGGATTATGTCTCCTCCAGCTATTTGATGCGCAATACGCACGTCGCCTCCGCGCCATACGGCCTGCCTTTCGTGAAAGGGCGCCGACGACAAGTGCGTACGGCTAGCTGTGTGGCTTCTGGGTCTAGTGCGGCCAGCTCATCGTATGCAGGTAGAGCATCATGATGTGTGAGGTGGTGGTGGTGTAGGTGCGACCCCCCCCCCTCCGAGAGAGGGTGTCAGTACGACCACCCTACCTAAATGTTCTCGGTAAGACCCCCCCCCCTTCCCCAACATCTACCAATTCCCCACATTTTCCACTCCAGTTTTTCACCCAAAAATTTTTCGTCGAGCGGGTGGGGG